GTGCCAGTGCAGGTGACAATTCTCCATCCCTTCCTAAGCCCCTCTGGGACTCCTATGCCCAAGCTCCCCACCAAACCACAAACCTCCCCGCCTCTACCTTCCCCCACCTGTAAGGATGACATCACCTCCCACATTACTACTTCTGTCCCCATTTCATCCTACTTTGCTCAGATCCTTCTCCAGGTTCTCCTCACCCTTGGGCTCATGTTATAAAAAGAACATTCAAAGACCCTTCCTAATGTGACTTCAGCCCCAACTTTGCAACTCAGCTCTACTACTCACCAACCAGAATGCCAAATTCTAGTCAACAAGACTATTCACCATGCACTCTGTGCCTTATGCTTTCCACCTTTGCTTAGCCCATTGTATTCATCGGTAACCCTCTCCTCCAACCTCCACCTCCCCCGTCTCGCCCAGCTCTGGGAGCCTGGGTCAGAGGCCACCTGCTTCAGAAAGCTCCCATCCACCCAAATGTACCTCTCTCCCCTCCTCCCATTCCTACTACCCCTCCACACTCAACCCTCTCCCTCTCTCACCCACAAGCTCCATGGACACTCACACAGCCAGCTATTACACAGCCAGTGATGAGTGCACCTCCCCACGGCACCAGACTACAGGGGCCAGGATGAGGTCTGGGCTGCACCCACAGCTTCCAGCACTGTGCCCCTTTCACTAAATACCAGTGGCTTGGATAACAAAGAGAGACAAGAAATGGAAGAACAAAGGGCAAGATGTTGAACCCAAGATGAGGGGAAGAACCACGGGCTGTTAGAGTCTGCAGGAGGCCTCAGAAGACTCCTAACCGAGATGAGGAAAGTGTAAGGATGGGTAGGTGGTCACTGTGAAGAACCCCACCAGGCCCTCCATCAGAGCCAAGTGCTCCTAGGGACCAGGGTGGCCCACAGCCTCATGGCTTAGGCCTCATCTGTCCCATGCAGAGTGCAGAGGTGTCGGCCTTTGCTTTTTCCACAGTATGGACCATGCCCAGGAGTAGAAAGAACCTGAGTCCCATCCACCTGACTGGGCTCCCCTCAGCAGGGAAGGGCCCCTCCCTGATTCTCAGGCTCAGGCGCCATCTGCTGGCCAAGGTCAGCACCACACCAGGACCCACAGCCTCAGGGGCAGCCAGAGGACCAAGCCTGAGACGGTCCTCAACGCACGGCAGATTCAGGTCACTTTTGAGAGGGCAGAAATGACCCCAGCTCCTAGAACTGGGGCTCCCAATTGCTTCCCAGAATCAGTCCTTCAGAACTTAAGCCTAACATTCATATTGAAAGGAAAAACATAAGATTCTTTCTGGTAACACTAGCTGAGAAACTTCTAAGACACAGCATGCAAACACAGAAAACTGATTTCTAAAAGGATTTCTGCCAAACAGAAGTTTTATTACATAGAAGACCAAGCACTGGACTGGGAGTCAGAAGATCTGAGGTCCTGTGCTACGACTCACACGCCCCTCACTGAGCTATGCAGGTTCCGCCCCCCCCACCCACCCACCAGCTGCACACTTCCTGCCTAAGCCCATCCCTGGGGTGGTATCCTTTCACTTGCCCTCACCTCTACACTGATGGCATTGGCTGTGGTCCAGGGGTGGGACTGACCAGAACCCACCATAAACCACGGGCCCAGAGAGCTGCCACCTCGCTCTCATCGCCCACGCCAGGACAGCCCTATCTGCCTGGGACAGGGATTGGTCTGAGAGCATGAGTGACCCTCTAAGCCCTCAGCTAAAGAGACAGGTCCCCAAGAGGCTTAGCTGTAATCAACCAGCACAGGCAGCAACAGACCAGCCTTGAGCTCCTCTCTGGCCCCCTCCCCTCTTTTCAGGCTGAGATTTCGGGCAGCCATGCAGTCGTTGAGCCCCAGGTAACCTCAGAGCTCATCCAAGGACGTGGACCTAGAAGGAAGTTGGTGCAACATTGGCTTCCTCTAACCACGCTCCTGCAACCAGGGACCGAACGGAGCTCCCCCAGAGGGTGCCTGGGTTGGAGCCCCAGTCATGGACCCCCAGATGTGTGAGGCCACTCAAAGAGCTTCCTGGGAGGAGAGCCGCTCCCTGAGCGGTGTCAAGGCAGGGACTGGAAGAGGAGGAAAGTGCGCCGTGAGTGACTTTCCCCCGCCCTCCACCCCCATCCCCACCCACCCTGCTCCCCGCACAGCCCCTTTCCCCTCCCTCCGCCCACAGATTGAGAAAGTGTCACCGGGGAACAAATGCCATCTTCCCAGGAGGGAGGAGGAGGAGGAATGGGGAGGGAAGACTTCGACTGTGTGCCTGTGGGGGCCGGGGTAAGAAACCAGAGGTTTCTGAGCTTCCCAGCTGTGAGGGACGCCCCCACAGAGCCGTGACCTTGACATTGGCCTCTCTTTCTCGGAAGGCTCAAGACGGCCTGAGGGGCAGGAGCCACCAGCCACCATGCTCAGGACTTCTTGGCCGGGGGACCTGGAGGAGAGGCCCTAGAGATGCAGATGGAAGCTTCCAACCCCAAGCACCCTTTGGCCAGCTGGGTGGGCCCACCATGACTGCTGACACCCCAAACTTCTCGTCTCACCCCCTGACTTACAGAGAGCCATGGACCTGCTCTTACTGCCCTCCTCCAGCTCTCCACAGACAAGTCGGCCTCCGAGGGTTAATCTGCTGGCTTTCCTCCCTTGCAGCCGCCCCCACTGAGCTGCCACATGCCAGCAATGATGCACTTCACACTGTTATTATAGTGATTATTTAGTTTTAATTTGGGGGTGAGTCTTGTACTATAGGAAGCAAGGAGCCAATAGTCCTGGGGAGAAGCAAAGCCATGTATGGGCCCCCACTGTGCCAGGCCTGGCCCCTCTGCCTGGGGTCCCTCCGTCCTCACCCTGTTCCTCCCCGCCTGCAGCCTGCTCCTGACTCCAGCCCTAAATCGGGTTTCACCTTCGCTCAGTCTCCCCCATTTTGAAGGAGATGTTCCTCAGCGGGAAGGGAGTCCACAGAGGTTTCTATGCTCCCCGACCCCGTGTGATCCAGGCCCCCTCAAGGCCAGAGGGACACCTTTGGCTACATGCTAGGCACCTGCTACTGGGTCTGCGTTAGGGGACAAAGAGCCAGGACCAGCTCCACGCGGATCAGAGGAATGGAACACCAGTCTTCATGAAACCTCTGGCCCTACTCTCCACCCTGCCCTGAGTAGCCTAAGGAAATTGTCACTGGTTCGTCCATCGGTTCACTGAACAAACACTTGGACCCACTCTGTATCAGACACTGTTCTGGTGCTGCAGACACAGGGCAAAAGGACCATCACAGTCTTCCTCCCCAAGGACTTTAAAACTGGCAATGAAAGCACCTCAGGGTAACTAACCAAGCCACAAGATGCACAAGCAGAGAAAGCAAAGTTGTGCACAGGGTCGCAGAAGATTCCACAGGGGAGCTGGGCTTTGGCCGGGACACCCAGCACTGGGCCTAGCGTTTGGTGGATGGATGGATGGAGGCATGAATGGTCTACAAACACAAGAAACCACATGCCAGGGAGAGAGCGGGGTGAAGACAGTCCAAGCAGACAGAAGGCCACAGGCTAGGCACTGAAGGCACAGAGCGAATCTGAGCAGCAGCTAGTATTGGCTGAGCACCTGCCCCGAGTCAGGGACGGCACTGAAGTGCTTTATATTCATGATCTCTTCTCCCCTCACAGCACCCCTCATGGTGCCCAGAGGTGGGCACCATGCCCCATTTTACAGGTGAGGGGAGTGAGGAACCAGATAAATAACGTGTGCACAGTCCACGCCCCTGGCTTCAGAGCCCAAACACTGGAGCCCCTGTGCTCCACCCAGATATGGTCATCAGACAAGCAACTTGAAGGGACGGGGTGGACCTCAAAATCCCGACTAAGGATTTTATTAGAGAGCAAATGGGAGGCATCAAAGGTTGTAAACTAATCTTGGGGAAGGTACTAGCTGGTTGAGGCTTGACTTTAGGATTATTTTGCTCAGGAAAAATTCTAGAAGACCCAGAAGATTCTCTATCAAAGAGGAGAATGTCAAATAGAATAATAGGTGAGCGGGGAGAGAAACTGTTTTTAGTACAGTGCAGATCTTTAAAGTACCCTCAAATTATAGCCCAAAATGCGTAGGCTTGAGCCTGACCCACAGCTCAGCAACATGCAGACAGATGCTCAAGCCCCTCCCTGTCCCCAGAAGCAAGATGACCAGAACAGTCCCCGAGGGTCCGTGCCACTGTGCCCAGTTTAGGGTCTACACATCCTGCAGGCCACTAGCGTGAGTCCAAAGGCATATAACCAGGGCTGTGGACAGACGGGCCCTTCTCCCCTTTCTCTGTTGCTCTGTGTCAGAATAAGGATCAGAAAAGTGACATTTGAGGAGGAAGGTTTTAGCCCTTGGGAGGAAGCACTTTTATAATTAGAGATGACAAACAAAAGAAGAGGCCACCTCGGGCAGCTGATGAGAGAATAAGCTTCCTGTCACTGGAGGTAATCAAGCAGAGGCTGGTGACTGCCTGCCAGAGATCGTCTGGAAAAGCCGGTGCACAGATCTGGACAGTTTATTGATAGGATCATAGAGCAGTGTGCTGGAATCACTAACTAATGCACCCTTGGACATGTTACCTTAGCACCTAAGCCTCCACCCCTCGTCGGCACAATGGGGTTAATAACAGCACCGACCGCACGTGTTTGCATGAGGATTAAGTGAGGTAACACAGGGAGCATGGCACAGCTGGCGGCACCCGGGAAACCCTCCACGGACCATAGATATTATTAGGTTGAACCATATGCATCATACTAGGTTGCAGGTCAAAAAGAGTAGAATATCTACTCTCCCATATGATTCAACTAATCTTTCTTACTGAAGGACACGGAGGTTCCTTCTAACCTCTCGGATCTGACCACTGGAAGCTGCGTGAGGTGTGGCTCCACAGTAGTGGCGGGTCCCCAGCCCCTGTCAGAGACAACTCTGCCGGGACCTTCTCAGAAGTACGCTGTCCCGGGGCCCACGCTCCTGGCAGAGGCCGGTACCTCTTTGCCCAGGTCCTCGCGGATGACCTGGCGGACCTCTTGCATGCTGCTCTGCGGGGCCTGGCTGTGCAGCACCTTCAGCGTGCTGGTGTACTCCTGGGGCAGCAGGTACTCCAGCGCCGCCAGGTGCTGGCCCACCTTGATGAAGGTGCCTCGGTTGGCGCAGCAGAGTTCACAGAGACGCCTGGCAGAACGGAGGTGCACCTGCAGGGAGACAGGCGAGACCAGAGAGGTGTGAGTGCACGCTGCCCAGTGGACACTGTTCCCCCGCCCCCGCTGCTTGACGACCCTGATTTACGCCCCCACCCCACCCCTAGTACACACACACACACACACACTCCTTCACTCACCGTCTCACGTGCCAGGGGCTCCTGATTTTCTTTCCATCAAATTTACCTGGTCTGGGTCCCAGTCCCTCAGAAATGAGTATTTGTTCAAGGCTTTTAACCAAATCTAATCGACTTATGATTCATTCAAGGGTACATCAAGTTAATGCATTTGCCACCCAGCCCTCAGACACACTAACAATACTATCTGTTTGGAGGCCTACAGTTTATAAAACATGGTCACACACGTCCTTTCTTTTCATTCCTACAGGAGCTCGGGGAGGCAGGTGTTGGTATCTTTGAAGATAAGGAACTCAGATGGTTTGCTTATAAAGAAATAGCTGATAAATATCAAAAACAAAATACTCAGCAAATACTCAGAAATAGCTGATAAATATCAGAAACAAAATACTCAGGGAGGGGGTCTACAAAATACTCCAACCCTAGGGCTCTTTTAACTTAGTGAACTTTTGCAGTGGCCTCATATTAACTGGAGCAAAAAGTTTCTGGCACAGGGAGCGGGCAGTTAGCAGGTTGTCGGGGACAAGGCAGCCTTAACTTGTGACCTGATGCCCACCTGTCCTTCCAGAGCTGGAGGTGGCCCCCATCTGCCCCCAGGCTCTGCATCCCTGGGCATCACCCCAGCTCAGCTGAGGGTCCTGGAACTCTGCAGGCCCTGCCTTCCTGGAGCTACAGCTCCCGAGGGAAGACGGGGCCATGAGCACACAGAGAAGACAGAGGGTCCAGGGAGCTGTGGGGACCTGGTACCTCTTCCACCCACGACGTCAACCAAGACAGGGTGAACGTCTGTGATGGACTCAGCCTCTCCCGAGTGCTATGAAAAATGCTGACATGATTAAGTACTTACTGGAGGCAATAAACCACGTGAAGAGTTAAATAACAGTTGGTAACACACGTGAAAGAAATGTTCAAAACTCCTATATAATTAGTTGCCGAGTGAACCACACAGAAAACTGTTACTCTAGAAACTAAGAAGAAAATACTACAGCCCCTAACAGCCTTGTCCCAGCAGCCAGGAAGCCTGTCAGCCCCCTCCCGGCACAGCAGGGCAAGTGTCCCCAAGTCCAGGCACGGACAGGTGTCCCTAGGCCCCTGGGGGCCCATCCACTGCTGGCTCTGCTGGACACCTCCGCCTCCCGCCACAGTGTGCTCTCAGGGAGCCCTGCGTTCACATAGCCGCGTCCTCCCGGGCAGGGTCCTCCGGCCCTGATGCAGATGTCCGATCCACACCAGCCACAGGCAGCCTCTTTCCCCAGAAGGGAGGCTATAGGGAGAGGAGAAGTAATTCTAAGAATTAAGACAGTGCACCCTAGGCGAATCAAAGGGTTGTGGGGGATGGGCGAGATTCTCTTTCTTAAGAGCTTGGAACTGGCTCTGGCCAAGTGGCTCAGCTGGTTGGAGCGTCATTCATACACCAAAAAAGGCTGTGGGTTCGATCCCCGGTCAGGTCCCACACAGGGGACAACCAGTTGATGTTTCTCTCTCACATCGATGTTTTTCTTTCTCTGTCTCCCTTCCTCTCTCTCTCTCTCACCTGAGAACATCCATTAGCATGTTCAATCTCAGCTCTAGATTCTTTTTTTTTTAACCCTCACCCAGTCTGGGGTCACCAGGGGTTAAAGAATCTAGAACCGAGGACTGAGCTGGCCAGTGTCAGGTGACAGAATGTCAGTAGCGCCATGCCAGCCAAGGCCACGCTCAAGCCCTCGTCCTAAGGAAGTAAGAAGGTTAATACACTCAGACAGAGAACCAAGCATATCCTCACAACACAAGGATGGAGGCTGTAATGAACAAATGACTTTTTGCAGCTCAAATAATTGTCCCCCGATTCCAACCCAGCCGAGGAGAGGATCACAATCATCAGCAGAAGATGAGGTGGCCCCAAAGGCATCCACAGTCCATTAGTCCTAATGTACAGTGTGACCAGAGCCCAGGTCCGGCCAGACACCCCAGTGAGGCTGCCCTGACCACTCAGCAGCCCTTCGTCTCCCCGCCGAGGAGGCACGCTCAGCCCCCACTCCACACTGTTGCAGGGTCAATGCCAAATGGAAGCCGAGGACTGGGAAACAGCCCTGCCCTCCCAGTAAAGATATACCCCCGTCAATTCCCTCAGGACCGGCATCAGGCTGAGTCCTGCGCCCTCCAACACACAGAGAGACCTGACGAAGCCACTCACAAGCAGAGGGTGGCACTCGGCAGGAGGATCCGTGAGCAGCATGGATGGAAGGCACAAGAGGGCTGGAGCCAGAGAAAAGGCTTGGCTCCCGGGAAGGGAAGCGGGGTCTGTGCCACTCATGCACTCGTGGCCTCGTGGCTCCGAATCCACCCCTTCGCTCTGGGTCGTGATGCCGGAGCTGGAGCCTATGTCATTTCTCCTGTCAGATGGCTGGCTATTAGGCTTTGTCAGCAGGAGCTCTGGAGGGACCCTGAGAGGCCACGATGGAGCAAAGAGTCTCCCTTTCTGGTCCCAATGTGCTGTTTTCAGCAGAGCAGCGAGCAGGTCAGTGGCTTGGGTGTGCCCACTTTGGTGGCCCTCACAGACCCGCCCACCCTCACTAAATTTCTCCACCACCTGGTGGGTCCCTCCTACAGATAACTCGGATCCACACCCCTCAGGGGGTGTTCTGACTACCCAGGAGGCCACTCCTACACGGCAGCTCCAAATCCTACCAGTTTCACTGCCACCCGGCGGTCGCTCCTTCCACCCCATCTCCTCGCCCCTGGGGAAGCCCACACCTCCCTCAGCCTTGCAGGGGGGAAGCATGCGGCTGAGTCCTCAGCTCCGTCCCCTCAGCCCAGCTGCTCTGTGCTACTTCTGTACCCTTAGAATCTTCCTTTACTCCTTTCAGAAGTAAACTACCTTTGTATGAAATTTTCCCCGTTCCATTACTGGCGTGACTGGACTCGGACTGATAGACAAGGTTAGCCCCTGAAGTTGAACAGATTCAGGTGAAAGAGGAGGGCATTTCGGAAAGAGAGAACATGACGGCATGCGTCTATATGTGTTTGTGTGTGGATGTGTGTATATATGTGCACATGCATGCTTGTGTGTGTGTGCACGTGTGCATGCATGTTAAGACCCGCCCCACCGTTTTGTCCAAACTGGATGCACATCTGCATTTGTCTGCCTCCAGCAGCCCTGGGGGAAATGTCAGCCTCACCCTGCCAAGCCCTCCCACCAGGGAAGAGAGCAAGGGCTCTGCTGTCTCTCACCTGTGGCATAAGACAGGCCTAGGCAGGGTGACTCTTGGCACAAAGTGATGGTCACCTTCAGGACACTGCCTGGGTAATGTTCTCTGTGGGCCCTCTCTGGTCACACAAGCCCAGCAAGGCCAGTCTACTCCTGACTCACCAGGTACTCGGCACATCGGCCGTGAGGGCGAATCGTGTGTGTCCCAGTACACTCAGTGTGCCTCAGGGCAAGCCCTGCGTGTGTCATAATGTAGCTCGGGGACGACTACAGGTCACACACTCACAAACTCATCATCCGTGTGTCATAATGTAATTGATGACAACTACGGGTCACACACTCACAAAATCATCCTCCATGAAAATGAGTCAGCAGCTACTGCAAATGGCACCCGTATTTCAACTGAAGAGGCCCCAAAGTCACCTTCAACCAGCTTCTAGATACACACACACACACACACACAGCCACTCCCCAGAAAATTAAGATGTTCTTTTAAGGCCAAAAGACTCAATGCTCAATTACAGAGCAGGCGCTCTGATCTCCAGGGTCCCTTTCCAGCCCCAGCTCCTGCAGCTTCACTGTCCTTTGGGATCGAAAGGCAGGCCCCACTCCGAATTTCCAGAAACTACTGGCTTAGTGCAAACCCCCCTTTCAGCATCACTTAATTTGGTACCTTCAGGGGCTAAGCCTGCTAGGAGCAGGGAATGTATACACAGGCCTTCTCTCCAACCCAGGATCCTTTCCCCTGGCCGCGCAAGCGCACTCAGTGAAAGGCAGAGAGAGCTTCCAGGACCTCCCGACTCTGCATTCCCTTGAACCTGGGCCTTCAGACCGCACATTTCTCTAAGCACCTTCACGGGCATAAGCACGAGGAGGGACATGCAGGTAAACGGAAGTCAGTTTACGACGGTTCCGTTCCGCAGCACTTTCTGCAGCGAGGCTGACGCTCCGCATGTGTGCTGTCCAGTATGCGGCCGCCAGCTCTGCGGCTGCACGTGGCTGCTGAGCGCTCGAAACGGGGCCGGTGCAACTGAGGGGCTGAATTTTTCGTTTTATTTAATGTTAAATAAGTTAAATTAAAATCGTCACATGTGACTAGTGGCTACCATATTGGATAGCTCAGGTTTATAAATTAGTAACAGCTATAATAAATCACCATTTTATAAAAATTCTTATTTATTTAAACTAAAAAAAGTTCACCCATTTCTCCCAACCCACCCCGCTCCTGCCTCTTGCAATCACCAATCTGTTCTCTATATACATGAGCTGGGTTTTTTTAACTATTTAAAAAACTATTTATGTATTTTTTCCATTACTATTTATCCCCCTTATGCCCCCTTCCAACTCCAACCACACCCCTCTCCCCGCAGTCACCACACTGCTGCCCATAGCCATGAGTTCTTTTTCTTTTTTGTTCTATCCTGCCTCCCTCCAACTCACCCCACCCCCGAAGGCTTGGCTTTGTTTTATTTTGTTTTGTTAGATCCCACACACAGAGAGACCGTATAGTATCTGTCTCTCTCCGTCTGTTTTATTTCACTTACGATAATGCCTCAAGGGCCACCCATGTTGTTGCAAATGGCAAGATGTCATTCTTCTTATGACTGAGTAATATTCCATTGTGAATATGTACCACAATTTCTTTACACATTTATCCATCAATAGAC